TTGGTTGTCTCCCTTTAATTAAGTAATATTTTTAGGGTATTTCGAATTGTTTAAATACTTTGAAATAAGATCTATTTGTGGGAAATCAGTGTAAAACTCATTTATAGGGTTAAATTCGTCTTCAGAAAAAATTAAACTTTAGCTTTATTATATTTTTTTCGTGACTTTGTTAAAAAGGTTAAATTGATACAACAAGCGATTATTTTTTATTTTGTTCTCAAATGTACAAGGGGAGGCAACTTAGTTATACAGCATGCCAAAGATGAAGTCCAAAATTGTTTTTGGTAGTGTGGCTTTAACTGAAACTTATACACTGTTGTTAAATGAACAATATTTTATGGTTGTTTAAAAAGGAATGCTATAATTTTATAAGATATTGAACGACTTTGTAGAATTGTACTTCCCTTTATTCACAAATATGAAATTATTTAAGTAAATTATACTGTTAAAACTTGTCTATAGTAATCATCAGGTTTTTTGTTATATTTTTGGATATTCAAGGTGTCTACAACTATTACCAAATATTGATTTTGAAGTGGGTCTTAAAAAACAAGACACTTTGATTGGAGGTGGGCTAACTGATATTAACAGTCACGATGCATAGCAACTTTAAAATATGTTTTGTAATTCATGCTTCAGTATCAAAGTCTGCTTTTGTGAGATTCTATACTTTGAAAACTAATATCTGTGTTATAATTGACATGCCTTTACTAGATGGACTGTATATCTCTGGTTAAATGTTTATGGCAATGAATGCTGAATTGCTGATTTCTTCCAAGTTCAGGCCTGGCTGAAAAAATTCATAAATTTGCACATTCCTGTACGTTGGAAGATTGAAATTTAGCGAACGATCATTCCTACAATGCTAAGTTTCATAAATGGACTTGTCCATCTCCCAATCAAGACAAACCATTTTATCATTTTTATTGACAAAATTTTAAGATTTGTACTGTCTGAATAGCAGATGGTGCTGACCATGTTCCGACGGCACAGATGTGAGGGCTGATCTTGATTTGTAATGTTCGCAAAGTTAGATTCAGCCGCCACCAGTAGGATGAGGGCAGAATAAAACCCAATAGAATATAAAGTTATAATTTTGCCTGAAATATATAAACATGATTGTGTTAAATAAACCCACGGCTTAATGTATGCTTAAAGTGGTTACACCTCATTAATGAACAAATAGTGAATACACTTGATATGATTAAATGTTTGATGTTTAAAAGTACTGTATATGTAAAATCATGGTTAGTAAATGCAAGCTTTTGTTACAGAAGATTTATGGCTGATACTTAACAAACTCTTACACAGTGGTCTCCCTTTGCTTCTTTACAAAAACAAGCGAAGCCTATCAAATCACTATGAGTTTCGAAGCTTACTAGTATTACTCTCTAGGAGCCCACTCTTTTAAAGTGAGAGGAAAAATCCCCACTGGTGTTGTAAACGAATGTAAGATACACTATTCAAAGGGTAAATTTTATTTTAAATTTTTGTTCAATATGCAGGAAAGATAAATGCTTATTCCTATCTGATGTTATATGTTATGTTTTAAATGTACAGCGTGGTAATTATTGGTCTGTAACCTTGACAATGACAATACGGCCTTCTCTAGGTTGTAGATCTAAGTCCTAATGTTTAATGTTACAAGTTTAGGCCTTTAGGGTGATATTTTTAAAACCCTTTACACACACAACCTTTGTCTAGCATATTTTAGCATAATCAAAATGTTACAGTTATTACTTTGAATGAATCTCGTACATGTAAGCATAGTCCCAGCTTTTGGTAATATTTTTTATTTGGTCTTTTACAAGATTTAGATGTAAAACAACTATCTGCTTAGATCTGTAAGTGTGTTATTAATAGGTTCGTTGGGAGCATTAATTAAAAGGGATTACCTTATCAGAACTGTAAAAAGACAAACAAAAAATAGCATAATCAGATTGCATGTATTTGCAGGCTGGTCTTTATAATGGTTGCATAGCTAAGTCATTGACATTGATAGCAATCAAAGGGTTGTGGCATGCCTGCCTGTACTGTAATTTTTCTGGTGGCGAAGGTAAACAAACCTAAACACATAAAGGTTTGTGGTCATTTAGATATAAGTTGAAATAGGGAGAGGTACTTTGTACCAAATGCATCTTGATATTAATCATTATTAAAAGTAAGATATAGGTGACAAAGTGGTAAGATTTTTATTTTTTATCTTTTTGGTACAGAAAGTTTAGTTTTGAATAAAATTTCATATATATATGATACAGTTAACCACTTGGTGGATTGATTTATAGTGACAATATAAGATATTCTATTAAAATAACATTTTATTGGTGTTCATTCACTGTTAACAGGTCTATATGTGTTTTTTTTGTACAAATCATACATTTTAAGTAGTTTGTTATACACTTGATTGGTGTGGATATTTAAACAATAAATAAATCACATGTTAAGACAACACTTCCTGTTTTAAAAAAAACATTATTATTATTAATATTATTATTATTATTATTATTATATGAAAACATTATGCTTAAGATAGTAAAACTGTGTTTTTGTTGTTACTGTACTTTTTCACTGACTTTTATTTCTTGTGTTTTCTGTTATAATGTTGGGTGTCATTCAATCCCCTGTCCTAATGGACATATTGATGTAGTTAATATGCAGAACAAAAATAAAACATGATGCACTTAAACATATCTTCTCTCTTTTATTTCCTCCTGTATGTATTAAATCAAAAGTTTAAAGCGACAGTCATGGATCCTTGGATGTGCTTCATAGAAAGACCTTGGTCTGAAGTCTGAAGACCAAAACTATGACAATTTTGCTTTTCAGAGAAAATGTTCGAACTTATGACTCCTGTATTATGACTTAATAAACTTACTCTGGAATGAAGAATATTTTATTTTTCCCAGCTAAGAGCTTATCTTTGGATAAAAACAACTTTTTACAGTTACAGCTTCGAAAATATGTGCAACAGGTTGACAATTCTATTGTGACCGGTAGTGCACCTTGAAGCTATACTGTTGTAAGTTTATTTGTACCAGGGGATTAGCTTGGAAAAACCAATATTTGTCAAGTTGCGGATAACATCTATTTTGTCATTTTTGAGTATTTCAAATGAACGTGAACAACACAGAAGATTAATGTGTGAATGCCATAGTAATTTTCTTAAATTTGTCTAAAGTCTGGCTAAAGATAACAATGTTTATTGAAATGGTCACAAGTTAGTCCTAAAATTGGTCTGAGATCCTATGATTTTTAATACACTTAAGACTTTTTAAATATCCACGCCAATCAAGTGTGACGGCGTGGCCGAGTGGTTAACGCGTCGGACTAGTAATCTAAGAATCTAGTGAGTGTCTACCAAAGTTGTTCAAATAAAATCCCTGGGGTCATTGATTTTCCCTATATGCATATAGTAAAAATAAAAACTTAAAAAATCTTCTTTTAAAGAACCCAAAGAGCTAGAGCTAAGATATTCAGCATGAAACATCTTCTAATGAGTGTCTACCAAGTTTGTTCAAATAAAAGCCCTGGGGTCAAAATTGGCCCCGCCCCAGGTGGTCATTGATTTTCCCTATATGCATATAGTAAAAACTTAAAAAATCTTCTTTTAAAGAACTCAAAGAGCTAGAGCTAAGATATTCAGCATGAAACATCTTCTAATGGGTGTCTACCAAGTTTGTTCAAATAAAAGCCCTGGGGTCAAAATTGGCCCCGCCCCGGGGGGTCATTGATTTTCCTTATATGTGTATAGCAAAAACTTAAATAATCTTCTTTGAAAAAAACCAAATAGCTAGAGTTTAGATATTAAGCATGAAACATCTTCTAGTGAGTGTCTACAAAGTTTGTTCAAATAATAGCCCTGGGGTCAAAATTGGCCCGCTCCGGGGGTCATTGATTTTGCCTTTATGCATATAGTAAAAACTTAAAAAATTCTCTTTGAAAAAACCCAAATAGCTAGAGTTTAGATATTAAGCATGAAACATCTTCTAGTAAGTGTCTACAAAGTTTGTTCAAATAAAAGCCTTGGGGTCAAAACTGGCCCCGCCCCAGGGGTGTCATTGTTTTTAACTATATGTGTGTAGTAAAAACTTAAAAATCTTCTTTTAAAAAACCCAATGAGCTAAAGCTTAGATGTTTAGCATGAAATATCTTCTTATGGATGTCTACCAAGTTTGTTCAAATAGAAGCCCTTGGGGGAAAATTGGCCCTGCCCGGGGGGGGGGGGGGGGGGGGTAGCAGGGTGAGATCATTGTTTTTCATTACATGTGTGTAGTAAAAAACTTAACATTGTGAAACATCTTCTAATGAGTGTCTTCCAAGTTTGTTCAAATAAAAGCCCTGGGGTCATAACATCTAAATACTCCAATAAATTTTTTTTTCTAATTTATATCAATTAATATTATAATTTAATAATAAACTTATCCATTTATTAAACATCTAAATACTTCAATAATAATGTATTAATAAAAATAAAGATGGGGAGGAACTGTCTGCTTATTTGCAAATATGCAGACAGTTCTCCCCCAAAATAGGGAGAGAACCGTCAGGGAGGAAACGTCAGGGGAGGAACTGGTAAGGGAGAGAATAGTCTGACTACCGTCAGTATGAGTAGAAAAAGTCATTCTTAAAAATGTATAACCTTCTATTTTAATGAAAGATATTGAATGAATAAGAATAGCGTACAATAGTCACTGGACATGAATTTAATATATTATTTATGAGACTGGCATTTAGATAATTTAAGACCTGCAAATGGCGTCAGTAATTATTAGTTCGGGTTCACAGATGGTTGAATTATTTTATCTTCAGATCAAAAAGATATACCAAATTTATGTTAAATATACCTAAAACATAAATATATTTTTCAAACAAAATGAATAAAAAATATATTGACTATAAAATGGCCCGAGTCGTGTTGGGACGAATCATCAGAGGAGCGAGAATCGTTATTGTAGATAGTTTTAAAATTTACATGATTATTCCCCTTAGATAATTTTACACCATTTGTTCGCAAATTTTTAATAATTAAACACTTGATCTTTAGAAAACAACTAGCACCGCTTATTGACAGGTTTAAACCTTTTCTCTGACATGATAAATTAGAATTAACTTTTAGTTATTTATTAGCTAAGCGGACACATCCAAAAGAGATAAATACGATTCGCACGGAAAAGAGTCAACTCGGCCCTATACCAACTCGGCACGGGTCAACTCGGCACGGGTCAACTCGACCCACTTTACAAAAATATATATATAACGTATTAACTTTGCTTTGCATGTTGTTAAGGAAAATGAATAATAAGAAATATCGTATTATCATATAATTAAATACATTGTACTTCTGCCGCAATAATGTAGATATATATTTAGAAAAAAAAAGTTAATTATTTGTCTTGCAGATTCGATAAAATTAATATAGATCTACTAAAAATGTGTTTCCTTAGATGCATTTTGTTTGTAAAGTAATTAAAAAAAAAAAAATGAAACAAAAACGGGTTTACTTAATATCATAAGCTTCTAACTAATCAATATCCTTAACATACACACTGATTGATAATAATAGGTATTTAAATTTATGGTTAAACCTACCGGGAGTCAGAAATACAGTGAGATACGCAATCGGTGATCTTAACTCGCAATTCTACTGATAAAAAAAGCCTGTCTGCTGCTAGTTCGGAAACTGTCAATCCGTGTATTATAAATAATTACAATAATTACAATAAATGATAACACAAACCTAAATATTAATAATTGAAAAAGTGGGCAGAGTTGACCCATGCCGAGCTGGAATAGGGCCGAGCTGACTCGGGGGCTGAATAGGTTTTAGGGTCGAGCTGACCCGGATTCGATTCGCACCACTCTTATTTCGCACCACAAAGATTCGCTATAATTTATTTTAGTGACGATACTTTCCGTTTGAAATGAATCATAAGGAATGTGTTTTGTCTAAAATATTTTACATATATCCTAGTTTGTATATTACAAGGCCATCATTAAGAAATAGTTCGTTTGCCATTGCTCTTCTCCTACCTACTCCTAAAAAAAAACCCTACCCATTACTTTTAAGCCATTTCCTTATGAAACTTGATTGACACAAGAAAGCTTTGGCCTCACTTAAAAGCATCCCGAAGAAATTTAGTGTCCCGAAGCATTTTTTATTTAAACAATCAGGGATATATTTATTGTAAATGAGGTATATTGTTATATTTAAGGTACATCTACATTTACTTATGGTAGAAAAAAGTCTTAATTGACAATTTTTCTACTTACATTCAAGTATATAAATAAAACTAACCTACATGTAAATTTATGTTCACTTGCTCAAAATCCATTGTATACCATCTAAGTGTCCAGAAGGTTTAATGTTTATGTACATGTAAACCAAGATTATTTTAAAACACTTTGTAAATTAAGTTTTCAGCGACAAAATTTTTTATTCATACATAAGATTATAAATTTAAAACCCAAAACCTAATGTCTATCAACGCAAATTTCACATTGCTTACTGATCAACAAAACATAAAATGTTAATTGTATATATGATGTATTATTGAATTAAATGATAATTATTTAAAGTGACTCATTCAGATACACACGATGATGTGCATTTAATATTTTGTGTTGTAGAGTGTAGCATGGACAAGGATGAAGATGCTACAGAACCTGTAGATTTTGATGTATCAGTGGTGCTACCAGCAGGTGGGTGTGGCCAGAGGTTCGGTTGTGATCTACCTAAACAGTACAACATCCTCCTTGACCAACCAGTTATACTGCATACAATCAATGCTTTCCATAGGTAGATGATACATTTATAATTGTATTTCTTCTTATATAATTATGCCCCAAGATATTATGCAAAATACAATTGAGGAGCTTTTACTTGAGACCCAATTTTCCTTATGTTTAAGTATCACTGTTAAATTGTCAATTGCCAAACAAGACCCATAATAGTGCCACAGGGTTGTCATTAACATTTTTTGCAGAAGGTTTGTTTTGAACTTGAGGCGGTCATTTCTGTCTTTATCATGCATAATAAAGAGTGTTTTCTTAATTTTGAGGCGGCCCATAATGCATTTGAGACAGGCATTTTGGCCTCCTGCCGCCTCTTAATGACAACCATGAGTGGTAGAATTGAGTCAGATCAAGATGAATAACAGTTCAGTCTGACTATGCTTTATGGTTTATAAGCAGAAATTTGTTTGTTTTCATTTATTGAAATAGCTAGTAAGGTTTGAATGATGAGTTCTTAAAATTAAGAGTTATTGTGTCAGTGAATATTTTTATTATGATTTTAAAATATTTTATTGCCAAAGTATATGTATATATAGTATTACCAATACATAAATATGCTGTGATAAAATTAATTGGCAAAAGGGTTGGCACACAAGTTCTCGAAACATTAGCAATGGTTCTTCCACATACAAACCCACTTTACAAAACTAATCAAGGGAATATTTTCATTACAGGATTACCTGGATAAAGAGAGTAGTGGTAGTTGTGAATAAAAGTTTTCTGCCATTTATGGAACAATTAGTGCAGGATAATTGTCTAGATAAAGTGGTGCTTGTGAAAGGTTGTTCCACAAGACACAGGTCTATCTATGCTGGTGTGAAATCATTAGTAAAAGGTATGGTAGATTATAAGAATCTTACATGGACTGCTTATAGGTCGGAATAACCGTCTCAAGGATAACCATTTAAAGTGGTCATGAGGTTATGCTGAGTTTTTGCTGAGCAGTTAACCAAGAGCATCTTAGCCTCGTCAGCAACACATGTTTGATTTTTTTTCTTGCATATCAAAACATGTACATATAAAATAAAAGAAATGAGGGATACTGATATTTTTAATGGGTACTATTTTCTTATAGAAGTGTTTCAATTAACAATTTCATTTATTACAGTTGAATGATGGCATCGTAGGCACACAATTCATTCATAATTTAAGCAATGGAATGACATATTTTAAAGTAAACATCTTGTCTTTGACCTAGGGATGTAGGGTCACCTCAGTGCAATAACTGGTTAACTCCTATTAAATTTAGAAGGACTTAACCCATTACTGCACTAAGGTGAAGGTATGAAGGTTGAAATAATAGGTTTCTGTGTAAGGATAATTATTTTCAGGTACATGTATGCAATGGCTAAACCTAATACCACCCTTATGCGATTCTGTAAACTAGCTTTATCACGGCATATAAATTTCATATGGATCTTAAAATAGAGCATTGATAAAAAAATCCAACAAAAAACATAGAAAAACATTTCAATTTTCTTTAAAAAAAGCTTTGAATTTCATAAAAATTCTGAGTTTTAAATCCAAAGCTTATGAAAGGAAAGAGATTGGAAGACTATGACCTTATCCATTCGTCCATGGAAGTTTCATATAAGTTATGTAGACATCTATTTATTCTATATTTTTACCTAGGGAGCTCTATATTATAATATAATGTACCAATGTATTCTTTTTTACCTGTAGGTGAAGACAAATCCAGTGTGGTTGTCATACATGATGCTGTAAGACCACTGATAGATGAAACAGTAGTGAAGAAAATTGTGTGTTATGCTAAGACATATGGGGTAAAGTTTTTTATTCATTAAGTTTGATTTTCAAGATCCAAACAATTTATCACCAGGCAGTAAAATTTCATTAAAAGCTATGACTTTTATTCAAATGTATTTGCCATTTTGAAAATAGTTCACAATTCATGATTTGAGATATTGTATAGGACTGATGTTTATATGTATTTTCTTCAGAAGCAACAAAAGTGCCACTTAGACAGGGCAATATTATTTGCTCAAATGCAAACTTGTTTGAAGAATTTTAACCGGGTAAGAAGTCCGGATCTATGAAAACATTTTAGAATTTTGAAAATGAAAGAATACAACAACAATTTGATAAAAAATAGATATGTAGTTGAATAGGCAATAGATAGAATATGACTCAAGGTCAAAAAAATATATTACCCTTTGACACTTGTAGGAATAATGATGCGTATTTTATTTTCACTAAGTGTGACAGCTGATTATTATATTTTTATAATGATTGATTGGTGGTCTATTTGATTACCTTGTTGACCTCTTGTAAAGGGGGGTCTCAGGTTTCAACTAATTAATGGCCCAGTCCCTGACTTTAAATCACTTGCCCCTCACCTGTTTGGTTTTGAGTCCCATCAGGTGGTGGTGGTGGTAGTTTTCAGTCCAGTTTATGGCAGTAAGCCACATTGAATTTACCAGAGCACAGTTCAGTCACCACATTGTTCCTAGACAGGCTGTCAAGCAGTTTACCAGTACTAGTTGCCCTCACTTTTGCAAGGAACCGATCACTTCTGTACATGCAAGAGCAGAGGTACAGTGCAAAAATGACAGTAAAAAAGATTTCATGATCAATCACAATGAAAGTGACCTTGGCCGACCGAGAATGGAACCTGGCTCGGGCACCCGATTAACAGTCCAACGCTCTAACTATTGAGCTAACTGGACGGCTTTTCCATCCCATCAGGGACTACAAATTCTTTTATGTACCTATCCAGGTAGTTAACAGAAGGTCAGTGGTTACACTCTTGTACCAGAAATAATTAAGAAAGTCCACCATTTTACTTTAAAAGTCTTCATGTGGCTTAAAGTCCAACAAAACATACAAACATCTTTAAATATGTTCCTGCAATTTGATCATTTAATATTTAAACTATTTCTTTTGGCATATGAAAGTTATGCACCTTAAAAAAAGATTGAATTATTGCTAAAGCAGCTATATTTTAATAAGGACAAATGTAATTTTGTAATAAATCAACTTCGTCTAAAAGTACTTCAGGTACACATTTTGTATCCGCTAATTTTTGTTTTCAATTTTCAACCATTCATCAAAGATTTCAGCAATTTTTTACCATAATGTATTTCTGTCATTTGTTCTTTATTTTAAATGTCACACACTATCTACCACCTGCCTTTTCTATTTTATGCTGCAATCTGCCATTATGTCTTCAGATGAATTGTTGTGCACCAAGAAACCTTGTTCATGAAATTTGTCTGAAACATGTATTCACAATAATTATGAAACAAATTGAGCTTGAATCATTTACAGTTTTAAAATTAAGATCCTTAAGACCTTTACTAGTTCAAAGTTCAGAGATTTAGTCCGTAGTTTGGGAAATTTCACAGCTAGCCAAGAGATTTTGCCAAAAATTGGGGAAATGTCAAAGCTAGCAATAAAATTGGGAAAAATTATATGTGTTCAAGTAACAAAATGTACCAAATTAAGTTAATCAGGTCAGAAAATATAGTTTTTTCTATTCTCCTTATTAACATTAGTCACAATAAAGGATATAAAATAATTCAACAAATTGTTTGAGATTTTTCTTATACTTCTATTATTTTGTATTGTTCAAGAACTTTAACATAAGCATTATCAATGATTTTTTCCCAAAAAAGGTACAAAAGTGAGCCGCTGTTTTGAATTTGCAAAATTAAGATAACCTTTATACAATATATGATATAAACATGCTACATAATTATTATTATGTTATAGAATCTCATGATTTTATTTTACAGAAAATGTTCTTTGTTTTAAGGCATCCGGTGTGACACGCCCCCTTGTTTCCACGGTGATATCACCTGATGATGATGGTTTATTGAAGGAATCTCTGGACAGGAGTCGGTACTGTGCCAGTGAGATGCCACAGGGGTTCCAACTGAAAGTTTTACAAACAGCTTATGAAATGGTATTGTAATAAAATTTTAATGTGAAATATTTTTAATATCATGATTTGAAAACACAGGGTATCAAGAGTACCAAAATAATATGTGTTTAAAGGCCCATTATCCCTAAGAATAGAATAAATATTTACTTCTTTAGAAAGGACAAACATGAATTTTAAATCATGTATTAAATGGAAAAAGGCACAAAAGAAAAGGAAAAAAGTAATAGTAACAGAAATTTAATGCTATCAAAATATTTTTCATTTGTTTTTCTTTGTAGTCAGATGATAATGATTTTGACTATGGTACAGAATGCCTTTTACTTGCCATGAAATATACAGGGACCAGGGCCAAGTTGTTTACAGGGCCAGACAATTTGTGGAAGGTACTTGTATATTTGAAAAAAGTTTTTTTATACTGAAATAAGATTCTGACAAGGTAATATTTTATTTTTGGTATTAAAATTTAATGATGTAGGCAAAGCTATATGCTAACATGTATCAATGATTTTATGTTTAGAGTCAAGGGTCTCCTAAGTAAAAAGAAAAACATGTTTGCCAATAATAGCATTTTTGACACCTTACTGTAGCGGGACAGAAAACTTAGCTCATACTTCAGTTATTCAAATTTCATTTTCTTCAAATCATGTCTTGAAGTATATGTAATGTGTACTAACAAACAAACGGTTCTGAAAATATAAAGAAATTAAATATATGAACAGTAAATACTTTATCAATTCGATAAATTATATTCTTTACAGATTTTTGTATAAAATATTTATTATTAATTATCATACTTACTGTTTTTATAATGAAATGACAATACTCCTGGTTTTAATAACAGGTGACTCACAGAAAAGATTTATATGCAGCTGAAGCAATTTTGAAAGGTAACTTTTGTTTTATCTGTACTGGCATGCGAGCAGTTCCCGTACAAAAGTCATAGTTACTTAAACATTATTTTTTATTACGCTCACTCACCAAAATTTGAATGTTACACATCAATATTCAACTCGTCACACAAATCATGGAAATTCCATCATGTTCTAAACATAGAATAACCCTTACTTATGAGGCCTCATATGGGGTACCGAAATTATCCATTATTTTGTATGAAGAGAAGTAGTTCCCGTACATAAAATCTAACCCATTATTATTATACAATTTTATTATATCGGACCTATTTTTCATTTATAATTGTTGAACACACCATTTTCTAAGAGATAAATAGATGTAATTCAGGAAATAGAGTGTAGACTAAACGCGGGTATCTATTACCCGGTACCGTTACCTCAACGCATTCACATGCAATGGCATGCTTGTATGCATGATATTTTACGCATCAAAGCTATAAAATTATTTTATATAGTAATATTTGTCAAAATTCTGATAATTAAACAAGTTTTCATCACATTGCCTACTTATTTGTAAACAGGTGGTATTAGTGGAAAACCCTTTAACATGCCTCACCTGTAAGTATTTTTGCGCATGTGCGCAATGACGGAATCCCCCAGAGAAAACAAGGTCACGTTTTGACGACGCACAGGTGAAAGTGATTTAAAATGAGACTTTTTATACGTACTGCCAAACTGACACTAAGATTTTGTCTCGTTTATGTATCTGCTTGATTTGAAATGAATTTTTGAAGAATGCAGGTAAAAATCAAGCGTTTAAATGAAAAATACGGGTACTGCTTCTGTACGGGAACTGCTCGCATGCCAGTATCTGATAATATTTGCTGGAAGTAAAGTTATCTGTAATCTGGTCCCCCAGGTTCGGTCCTTGACTGAGGCAAAAATTGTCAGTAACATTTGACCTCAAACATTTAGTCTAATGGACAGTTGTCTGGAAACCCTGATTCAGAAATCATGTAAGATTAGTAGTAGGTCACTTGCATTGAAATTGATAATTACTGGCTATTATCCAGGAAAGTTGGTTAGATGGACTGACCACTGAGATATATATGGCCAAAAATGTGTTGGAGGTGTGTGTGTGGGGGGGGACTGACTATTCAAAATATATACCTGTAAACTATATTTATGAAATATTTATATGCATGTATAATATATATTTTATATAAATGAAAGCAAAAATAAGTTGGAACAGTTTCTTTGGCAAAAACATGCAAATTGTAATTTTATTATTAAATTTAAAGCTCTGGTAGTGAAAAGGTAAATACTGAGTAGTAATTTTTGTCTATATATTTGTTTGAAATTGATCATTTTACAGGCACAACCCTTTAAAAGACTCCTATTTATTGTTTCAGAACAGAATATATCAGTTCAAGTTATATTTTCATCGTGCCCGGAGGATCAAGATCTGTTGAAGACTGTGTTATCACAATTTAGGAGTAAGATGCTTGTAGTGAAGGTAAGTTCATGTGTACATGTAAGCAAGTAATTTTACACCAGTTAAGATTTTGAATAAAAATGGTGTTTAAAATGGCTTATAGCACTATAAAGTTGTCTTTCCAAACAGGAAATTATGTGTGTTAGATGAAATGAAAACAAGTTATGGAAAACTGAATAAATTATTTATTTTGGATTTGATATTGAAAACACTACATGCAGATCATGAAAGCTGGCTACAGTTTTATGTCCTGTCTTGAATTACTCATTGGATGATGTTTTACAAAATTTGTTTACCCCCCTCCCTACGGATCCCCTATTCCCCCCCTCCCCCCCCCCCCAATTTATATGTTAATATAGTTGTGCAAACATTAATATGTTAAACCATTTGCCCTGTTCCTATTTAAAATGTACTGTTTATAAATTATTGTGTATTCTTCTGCTGATTTTGTAGATATATTTTATGACATGAGAAAAAGAATGTGCGCATGACTTTCTTTTTTTTGTATTTTTCAAGTTTTTTGTTAGAAATATTGGATGATCCTTTCTGTTATCAAGGGCAGTAAACTCTTTTGAAGAAAAAATTGTCAAATTTTGATAGAGTTCTTTTCCTTAGATGAAAAAGCAACTATTACCAGAGATTTTGTCAATGGTACCTATGATTTTATAATCGTCTTCGAAAATAATCAATCAAACCTAATGAAGAATAATCTGACGAACTTGATTTATGTTTCAGGAAAATGAGAGTTCAGGATCAGTCAGTTGTAACAGTGCTGTGTTCATATACTCACACATTACCAACAGTGCAATATCAGAAAATACCCAAAGTGTTCTCAAACCAACTGTAGACACAAATGTAACCATGGAAACTGTTTTAAAGCCATGTATTATTCATGTTTGTAATGGGAGAAAATTAAACAGTGAAGATACTTTTGAATTTATGAGGATAATCCGTGAAATGACAGAAAACTTCCCAGATTCTCTCAGTTTTGGAATATTGAATTTTGTAAGTATTTTTAAAATATTGATAAAGTTATGAAATAACGTGTAGTAGTTTTATAAGATAAATGACAATTTTTGTTTGCTATTTTCTATTTTCTATTGACATGAAAATATTGTGTCAATATTGTTTATATATATTGACAGCTTAATGTCATGTAATCATTCCATATATCTATTGGCATGATAGTGTCATATCAGCATTTTAATATATTTTCAAATAATAATGTTATGTGAAGATTTAAAAAATCTATTGACATCATAATGCTTAAATGTGAAACTTCTTTATAGCTATTGACATTATGATGTCATGTCAACATTTCTTTATATCTTGCCATATTACAGGATAATAGACACATAGTTTTGTACATATTTATTTCATTGAAAATGGTTACTGAACCCTTTAACTTATTCTTATAATAAAAGCAAAATCTCACATGGTCACTTTTGTGTTACAGAAAATTGATTGATATTGCTGTAAATTTTGTATATTTTAATTACAGAATATAGCAGACTACAAGAAGTTATCAGATATGGTGACCAGTCTGATATGGAACAGAGATTCTACATTGTCTGGACAGACATTTGTTATACACTGTAACAAAAATAACAGAATCTAAATTATATCTTTATGTGATTATTTAGTCTTTGCCTCCAGTATAGAACCAGACCAGCCTGTACATCTATGTAGTCTGACTAGACTACTGTTGGCTGCTAAGTTTTTTTTTATTTTGAAATCCGTTAAACTTTGAATGGATTATTTCAAATTCAAGAATCGTTGTGAAGACACTTTACTGGAATAATATATATGTATTTATATGTTTTATATAGAGTCTTATTTAATTAAGGAGTGATTTTTGCTTCTTTTGTCTTGTTATACATGTATCATAATACTCAACAATATATGTTCATTATTATGTTTTGTGATGTTCATTGGTGCTTAAATATATCTCTTTGTTAGTTCTTGTAAATTAAGATTCTGTATGAGGTATTTATAAAGGTTAAAAGAATACTGCCTTGTAATGTATTGTACAGATTATGACACAAACTTTACTGATGTAGGAAGACCTCAGGTGCCCCTCTCTTTGCATTATTTCAAGCATAAGTGGGCCCCTGTAGTAGAACCATAGACCTTTCATGAATTGAAATTAGCTGCTACGTGTATTGTGCAGTTTTTGTTAAAACAATATTTTTTTTTAATAATTTTTTTCTTTGTTTATTTTTTTAATGTTTAAGGTCAGTCTACAAATTATCAATAGCATTATCTTATTATGTTTGTAATGTTTATATGCTTGATATATAACACTCAAAATTAAGACTTTATCAAACACTCGAAAATAAAGGTGTTTAATGTGAAATTCACTGAGTATAATATAGCCAGGTTCATAGAGTTGCATAATTATCAAATCTTCATACACGGTCTGTTTTAATACATGGCCAGTCTATATTGATATTAGTATTTTATTAAATATATTTATATACAGTCTGAAATATGATATTTATATATATGAATATATACAATGTATGTATATTTTCAAAATCACCGCTTTAAAATAGAGCCATTCGGACCAAATAGTTCATATTTCAGTTACAAGGTTTGTGTTTTGTGTTATACACTTTTCATGAAAAGTTTACTGCCATAGATCTTTATGATTTTTTTTTATTTTTATATATTTAATAAACAACTAAAACATGTATATAACATAGGACCTTGTTGTTTTTTTATTTGTTTTCTAGAACTAAGGTTATTCGTAAACTTGTTAGTGATTTTTCACCGTCTTTAAAATCATTCAGCTATCCCAAAAAATCTGAACTTACACCAGCTGATTTACTGCCCAAAATAAGCGATATTTTCTTTCCCAAAATCAAGAGACTAAGGCCTCTTCTCAATTAAGTGAGAAAAACCACTGGTTTTTATTTTTAAAGAAGTCATATTGGATGTCTCATTTGTCACGGAGATAAATCTTTTATAAACACCCAAATAGAGTGTATAAAGTTATCAAGTATGAGTTGAGGTTTCTCTTTAAGTGTTTATATGACCATGCATACCATTTGCTTATAATTATTCCAGAAACTAAAAGTGTATAAAATATCTTTCTTGCCAAATCAAGTTAAGTTGATTATTTTAATATTATCAAGCTGGATGGTCATCTCCAGAAGGGTGTGGGATGGGGAGGGGGGGGGGGGTTAGGGGGCCCCCCTCATAGAAAAAAAAATCCTGGATTTGGGTTGCCCTATATGTACTTGCTTTAAGCTATTTATGACGTACTTGAGATAAATGATAAATTTATATGACACAAATGTACAAGTATTTATTTACTTATCAGTATGAAAACTACGTACTGAATCATTTTGATGACATGTTTTTCCTGAATGCATCATAATTTCTAAGTACTAGACAAATGAGATGATTTCACAGAATAGTAATTAAACACTTTAAAATAAGTTCTTCCTGTTTTAATGTTTATGTCCTTTAAGAAAGGTCATTTAGGTGCATTTGTGGATAGAGTGGACCGCTTTATTTAAAATGCAATGAAATGAATAAAAAATTATGAGAATGTTAATTTAATATAATGTGTGGGCTGCAAGTCTGGTTCAATTCACATGACCAGGTGTTTTGCTGAGATTTCTATGTTGCAGCTATAGTAATATAAGTACATGTATCTTTGGAACCACTGAACAGGAAAACTACAGTCCTTTCTAGGGGCAATATATTTGGGACCCCCCCCCCCCCCCTTCACATCTGAATCCACGCATTGAAGTATTCTATATTGTTTCTTCAGTATAATATCATTTGGATGGTCAACTATTTTTAGCTGTTTATGGACAATTGAGCATTAAAAAGGAAACTGATAAAAATAATCTTATTTTATTTTATAATCTGATTGGATAAATAAAAATCAAGCAAATGTACTTTATCACATACCTGTGCGGCTTTTGCGACTTCGTAAAAATGGTAATGCACAGCAGCTTTGCACATATTTTTAAATTTTAACTGTCCGAAATGGTTCAAGGATAGAA